TGCTTGTGGATATACATATATTCAAAATAAAAGTACAAATATAGAGTTTATTATCATATATTCATAAAGCGCCTTTGGAACATTTTTTTTTTGTTACCAGCCGCCGGCTTAATAGGTGGGCATACTTTAAGAGGAGAAAAACATATCAGAGTTTAATCGCTTTTTATCGCTTTTAAACTTATGGTAAAAGCGATAGAGTTGAATAAACAATTTCGGACGAATAAGCACAACATATTTTTATGAAACTATATCGTTGAGTTGTGCACTTACTTGTGTATGTGAGCATTACACTTGTTTGCACATCAATCCTGCAAAAGCATAAACTACAACAATGTATATTCAAGTAAATATAATTCAGAATAAAAATCCTGATAATCTAAGTTAATAACAGGCGTGTCATTTTTATAATTGTTAAATATTTACATAATCGGAATGTCAGAAAACAAGAAATCTAAAGACAGATTTCATGTAAAATATAACAATTGATTATTGTTTCTTTTAGATAATTCGACACACTTAAATTGGCTTCAGTTGAGTGTATTAAAGTACCCACAAAACAGTATTTATTATCAATAAATATCTACATGTAAAGAACAAAAGCATATTACATTCCCATTGTACTACATTTTTCTATTTAAATAAACTCGTTTGGAAGCTTTTACAGGCTTTTTAACAAATAAGGAAAAACATTTCTTTTAAAACGTTTAAAGTTTGTTTCCCGTAATTATCAGATGGTTTTAAGGGGATTACGAAGAGACCTGCTAAAACCAAAGTTGGCTTACCCCGACAAACGGTTGAGTGTCTTTAAAAATCTCGTTTCAGGCTGCGGCTCGAACCCTCCTCGGCTTTGTTCACTGGTAATTGCTTTTTCTTTCAGCCATTGTCCTGCAGGATAAACGCATCCGCTGCCTTTGCTGAGTGATTCCTCTTTTTTTCGCTCTCTCTTCCGGGGGAGCGGGGAGCGGGGAGCAAACACACGAAACAAGCAAATGGGCGCAAGGTGACCGCAAAACTGGGTAGAAATTCGGAAAAACCGCGGTGCACACGGTTCAGATTCTTTTTATTTGTTTTTCCCCTACAAGGAGGTTCGTTGCAGGAGCAGGTGCGCGTCGCACGTTGCTGGCCAACTTCGAATCCAAACTGACCGCAAAACATTTGCACTTTGGACTTTATGCCAAGTAGCTGGCGACGTCGGCAGCGACTTCAGCGGCTCCGGCGGCAAATAATAACAATAAAAAGCCAGGCAAAGGCAGTTAAGCCCAAAAAACGCGATTCGAAAGCAGTGCAAAGTGGGGGAATTCCCCGCCGCAGTGTTGCAAAAGGAATTATGGACGCGTTGCTGTTGTCGCCGTCGATGTTGCTGCTGCTGCTGCTGCTGCTGCTGCTGTTGCTAGTGTTGCTGCTGTTGCTACTGCTGCTACACTGCTGTTGTTGTGCTAATTTGTGTTTGCGGCTTTCGCACATCAAACAGCAACAACGCCAGCGAACAACCGCCTGTTGTTGCTGTTGTGGTTGTGGGTCAGCACGAAAAATGAAGTTGACCCGCTTTTCCGCCGCCGGAAAATGTGGGCCAAAAGCACTGCCGCTGCCAGCAGAGCCACACTTTTTTCGCAGCTGAACACTTCCGAGCAAATTTACATAGGCGCGGCCAAAGAAATTATGCATGCCTCCGTTGATATTGAAATGCCGAGCAGCCTGAACTCGGACTCGGACTCGGACTCCCACTCGCCGACGGCGAAATAAAAAGGAAAATCCCGAAGAGGCAGGGAAAATCCTAGAAAAGCCAGAGGCGAGACCGGTTTCACTTTCCGTAAGAATCGCCATTTGCAGGCGATAAACACGTAAGGCAGCACCAGAGGTAAGCAAAATAAACAAGGCGGGGCCCACCTTAACTTGGCTTTAACGCCGACGTCGACGGCGGCATGCAAATTGGACTAAGTACTCAAGTTCGTATGTGTGTGTGTGTGTGTGTGCAGTTGACGTCTCAGGAAGTCGTTACAGCGGGAAAGGACATGCCAAGGAGCAGCAGTAGCGGCAACCTTTGTGGGTCAAAAGTTACGTGGAAAACAGGCAAACACACACAAGAAAATAAAAGAAAAAAAACTAGGCAGGACAGGTCAGAAGTCAAACGCAACCAACAAAGGCGACAAGCCAACGAAAAGAAAGCGGTGTCCCGCTTTCGACCACGAATAAATCAGTGAGCCAAGCGAGAACTTGGCACAAATCCATTAACATTAACACTCACATTTTGAGTCGCATGCAGAGCGAAAATAATAAAAGTCTATTTACGTAAACTTGGCCAACATGCCAAGTCGGGGCCCAAGACAAACGTTTTGCTAGCCGCCGTCATTGTTGCTGCTGCTGCTGCTGCTAAGCAAAATGAACTTTTAATAAATTCATTACCCTGCCACTTTATGACTCCAGTCCCTCCATATCCAGTGCCCACCCCCTTCTGGCCAGATTCCATCCCCAATGCGCCGAGTGTTGCATTGCTTTAGTGCAGTGCCCGACATTACGTATACGCCCCGTACATTTATGAACAATCAACTTTATAGCCGCACAACCAAAAGGGTGTGTATATGTGCGCACTATACACAAAGGAACTATTTTCGAAATTAGGAGTTCAAATCATTGATTTGTTAAACATATGTAGCTCGTGAATTTTAGTAAATTAAATTTAATGCAGTTTTCTGGAGTAAAGAAGTTGGTTCCTAATCAAAGATAGCTTCATTTTGGTTTGTATTTATATAAGGATTTTTTCATCTAACATCTAAAGCAGTGTCTTTTATATTCTGTTATGAAAATTGTTAAGTTAACATTTAGAATTCGGTACCTTACTCCTTAATAATCAAAATACCATTATTTATTATTTGCTAAACCTCTAGTTCCTTTTGATTTTTTCTCTCTGTTCCATGTTCTTTGCTTGAGAGACTTCCATGCGCCATCCCCATGCACATTTCCCAAGCCCCGTCCCTCGGGCTATTCTGTTTTATTGGCATTTGCACTTGTGTTTGACTTTTCCAAGATATTTTCAATTGGAAGTTATGTGTCGCAGGGAATTGTCTGCCAAAGTGGGTGGCACTGGGCGTTGTCTGCAGCGTCATCGTCTTATTGATGGGATGTGTGCAACACAACAATTTAATGGACGACAACTGACGGATGTCGGAGATGTATATGTATGTACTCCATCCTCCCTCCACATCCCTTACCCGGATAGAAAAAAATTGCTTAAATTGAGACATGCCACGCGCATAGAATTGTAAATACGAATAACTTTCTTCGCGGCAAGAATGCAAGGACCTAGCTCCGTACAACCATTTAAGATGAAAGGCTAAGCCCTTACGCTTTCGAGACTTAATAGTTTACCGTATCGGTTCAGAATAAATTGTATTTAACTTCCCAGACATGGTATAATTACCCATTTTTGGGGTAAAACGCGCACCATTAACATTACATAACGCCCAGAAATAAGGGACCAAGGTCAGCTATGTCCGCGAGGGCATTTAAAAATGTGTTAGCCGGACAAAACAAACGACACGACAAACTAAAATTTTGCGATTAAATCTTGGAATGAAATAAATTATTGTGCACATCGCAACGAGCTGACCCAAATACACAATCCGAAATGGACGGGGAGTGGTAATGGGAATCAAAATGCGAATGCGAATGGAAAAGCGAAGGACCAACGACAAAATGTTGGCTGCCGTTGCCAGCTGATTATCGCTAATTGTGCCCAAGGAAATAGAAATTAAACGAGTCAGGATCGAGGACGGACCCCACTTCCTGGCCAGCGGTCGAGCGTTATTTGCACAGCTGAGGTAAATAGAATAGGACCTATTGCATTACATATAATTGGAAATCATTGGCTTTAGGCCTACGGTATAGGTATATTTATATTATTCAGTAAACAAAAATATATCTTTGTATATGCTATTTTTTTTGGGTAAATCAAAGTTTTTAAATAGCATAGCTAAACCAAAAATTCATTCATTTTAATTCGGATAGCTTTTATGTACTAGTTTTTATTGGGATTAAAGATCTGCACACTCAATTTAATAGTTAAAGGAATAACTTTTTTATTACCGAATATTGTTAGATTCATGCAGCTTTTGATGCTGATCAAGAATATATATTATCTGGCATTAGAAACCCCTAAGGGGGAATTATAATGTAAACAAAGTTTGCGCCAAAGTAAGGGTAAGTTTTTAAATAATTCATAATTAAGTTATGCTGGTCATGGCACATTAATTAAAATATAAATGCTGATCCCATAGCAACTTCATATATATATATTTAATATATTTTTCATGATTAAGACTTACCGCAGTAGGGGACACGTGGTATATTCTTTATTACTTCTATTAGGCTTTCCAAGGCATCATCATTATAGTAAACTTCATCATGGTTATCCAAATGCATATATCAGGTGATATATTTGGAGTCGAAGATCACTCACTATCACTGCCACTATCACAACCGATGTAAACACTCGAAAAGCCACGCACATACTAAGGGCCGCGCGGCGGAAGAAGGCTCTATTTATAGTTGCCGAGGAAAGAGAACAGTGAGCAGTGAGAGTGAGAGAGAAAGAGCGTAAGAGATGACGCTTCAGATGCAGCGATGCTAGCGATAAGCACACCGACACTGATAAGAGATTAGGCGAGAGCAAGAGAGAGAGAGGGAGAGGGAGAGGGAGAGTGAGTGTAAGCGAGCTGCTGATAAACATGCATTTCAATAACTTAACCATTTGTTCTATAATTTCCACCTCAACTGTTTGTTCAAGTATTTCGACGGCAGCATTTAAATTAATTTGGAACAAGTCTTTAAATATTCACAGCAATTTACTTGATCGATAATTGAGGAGGGCAAGGTTGACGATTTGCCGACAAATTGGCCGGCCTTTTGATGAGCAGAAAATTGAGATTATTTGAGGTACCGCCTTGAATCCGTATCCATATCCGTATCCAAATCAGGAGGCCTTGCCTTCAATGTCACTCCGTTTAACCTGAAATCAACAGTAGGCACTTACCTGACTAGCTGGGCGAGTCACGAACAAAAAAAAAGAAGATCAAAAACAATGTCTCAGGTAGGCGATGTAACTCTAATTAATTCGTTCTGTTCCCCCAACTAACTCACTTCATTTCGTTTTATCAACCAAACAGAATCGTTCTCAGCCTGAAAGGGTAAGCCAAATTTCGGTATTACATAAAATGATAGGCCTTCAGAAAAAGAGACCAGCCCCCGGAGATTACATTGTGCCCAACAACTCCGTGCTGAATATAACCGGAAAGACCGGACCCTACAATCCCACGCCCAACGCCATGGAGCAGTGCCCCAAAGGTGGCACCGAGGGCAAGTGTCGTTACTGTGAGAACATGGCTAAGAATTTCCTGTATCTGGAGAGCCTCATCCGGAACAACAGCGAGAAGGGCGACAAGAAGTGCTCCCTGTGCAATTCGTCGCTCAAGTACCTGGAGTACGTGAACCGCAACATCCGGCAGGTGTTTGGCAATTTCGATGCGATCGTCCAGGCCGATAAAGCCCTGGCCTCCAAACCGGCCACGTTGCCCAAGTATTCAGTGGGTGCGCCGCCCGAGAAGGTGGATGTGCGCGCCACAGGTGGTGCCATCATAGCCGCTCAAAAGTCGGTAAAGAATCTCAAATCCAAGCCTGCTTCACTCAAGGTCAAGTCCAAATCCAAGTCATTGGACAAGTTTAAGAGATTCAGGGGCCAAAAGTCACTCAAATCTCTCAGGTCGCTAAAGCCATCCAAATCAACCAAGTCAACGAAGTCAACCAAGTCCAGGTCGCTCAAGGACTCAAAGAATCTCGCCAAGTCTGGGTCCAAGGGTCTACGCAAGGGCCTGACCAAGTCGAAGTCCGCGGGTCTCAAGAGCCAGATCAGTCATGGCAAGATGGTCCTCAAACGCAAGTTCCGTACCAAGGCCGCTTCGAAGATGGTTCGCAGTGTCAGCCAGTACCGCGGCCTGGCCACCAGCCATTCCAAGCTCTCCAAGGAACATAGCAAAAGTAAGCTGGTGAAGAAGCGATCCGGTACCATTCCCACCAGCATCAACTGGCGACTCCTCAAGCAGAACCTTCCCAAGCCGAAGCCTACTCCCGTCAAGTAGAGATGATGCCCGGGAGGATGGATGATGGGTTCTCTCTACAATTCAAAATTGTCAGTGAGGTTTTGAAAATTTAATTTAATAATAACAATTATGATTATTTTATTTCACCTTAAACCGGATTAAAGTTTTATTCAAAATATTATTTGAGATTTAGAATGATATAGATCAAGAACTACTTTGAAAGTTTTCCCATGTAGAAAATTCTATATCCAATCCTTACATTCTCAACCCAATCCTATCTCTATGTGAAATGGATTATATTAATATTAGTATTATATCTTCTTAGACGTTCCACGCTGCTCTAAAGATTCATCAAGTATTCATTCATAACTATTCCTTGGCTTTTGTGCCTTGCTGTAAGGGATAAGGGTTAATATTTCACGCCATTCCTTGCTGAATTTAAAAAAAGTATTCCAGAGTGAGGCATTTAAATGAATTCACACCATTTCAAGGCCTGCGGTTCACTTGATGCCGCGGCCATTTCCCGGCGCACATTTCCTTTTGATTTCGACGCATTTACAGTTCGCATAATTTGAGGCTGCTCCCTGATTCCTACCTCCCAGCTTCCTGCTCCCTGAAGCCGGTGGTAAACGAGTTGTCCCTTTTATAATTTACAATTTGAAATTTGAAAAATTATGCACCAGGTGGCAGAGGTCTTCAATGGGAATGCTTCTAACCGCTGGGGAGTCCTTTGTTTGGAGTCCTTTTTCTTCTTCTACTTTTTGTATTTTTGTTTGGTTTTTTTTGTGGGGACCTGCCTTTGAATTGCTCAAAAATGTTGACTCTTTTGTTGGCGCTCTTTTAATTGTTGCAAATATTATTTTTATTTCGAGTGTTGACAAGCACGCAATTAGCGTCCCTTAACGCGCCCCTCTCTGGCGGAAAGTTTCCCCCACATTTGACCTCGTTTGTATAAAGATTTCCCGCGTGCAGGATGTGGGCAGGGGAAAATGGTCGAATGGCCCGTTGCTAACTTCAATTTCCATTTAACGACCGGTGGACAGCGTCCAAATATTTTCACAATTTAAATGCAAGTGGATTGTGACGATGGATGGGCCAGGAGCAGGAACAGGAGCAGGAACGGGAGCTGGAGCAGGCACAGGGATCTGGATAGTGGACAGTTGGTGCGGAAGGCGGCTAAGCAGATTGCCAACCTAACTGACTTTGGGGCCGCGGCCGGCAGTTTGACAATTTTTCGCCATGCCCGCTCAAATATGCCGCATACGCAGCTGGGTACCCCGAAGCACGACCCTTCATTTGTTTATAGGGCATCCAGGCCCATACCCCCTATATTGGCCCACTGAACCATTTTTACACTGCAGAAAATTATGCTAACCACTTGCACTACAATATATGACTTATAAACATTTATAATTATCAATCATATCGATGCTTTATAGACCACTGTCAGCCTATGCTTTAATATATTAGGTTCAGCTTTGATAAATATTGGATATTACCATATTACCATTGGGAACTTGAAGCCACAAATATAACTTGCAAGTTGCATATAATTTTTAAATTATATATTATTTTGCAAAATATTTAATATAATTTTTTCGATATACCATAATACATATGAATGAACTCAATCAATATTAACTTTTTAAGAATGTTGTAGCTTTGCAAAATATTGTTTTACTGAAAACCTAATGTCTTAAAAAGCTAACCATACTACCCCTTCATTCAATTTCATTTATATTTCGTACAAGATTTCTTTCGGTGTATATTCAACCATTGTGCTCCTAAAATGGGGCGTATGTCCTTGTGTTTGTGTGGGTGCACGCCTCGTTGACCGTTCGGATAAAACTTATTAGACACAAGTGTATTTAGCGCACATGTGTGGGAGCTCCACCACCAGCTCCCCAGTGTGTATGGGTGTGTGTGTGGGTATGTGTATGTGTGTGTGTGCCTGAGTGTGAGTAACTAACTGCGGGCAGTTCTACGGGCAGACCGAGATACACAGGGACTGTGAGTACGCATCTGCATATATCAATCGGATGCCCGCAGCAATCCCATCCCCGACTCCTGCCGCTGTGCATTTGAACAGAAATAATATTTTGCTGGAACAATTCGGGAGATAGAAAAGGTTACGAGGGCGTAATGGGTGTGGGGGCTGGGATAGTGGCGGGATCGGTGGACCGGCAACTGTGTGACGTTGCCGCACGATTCCTTTGTAATTAGATAACGTAACAAAGCAACAACATGGCGCAGCTCCCGCTTCCGCTTCAGCTCCCGCGCTTCGCCGGACTATGGAGGCGTTTTTGCGGATGGGCGTGCCTAGCTAGGCACTTTTGCCACAGGATCCTCCTGCTCCTCCTCCCTCCGTCCATCCCCGTTCAGCTTCGTTTTACGTAAAATGTTGAGAGCCTTTTCTGATTATTTGGCAGAATCGCAACATTTACCGCTGCCACACAGCACAACACATCGCACCCGAACCCCTGCTGGCCATTGGCAGTATAATTAGCCACAGACGCAGCTTCCATGGTTGCACCCGAGCCCATAGTCATAGTCCTTCCCAGCGAGCTGTGACTGCAAAAATCCGGCCGTCGATGTTCAATTTCCACAACGTGCACACTCGACTGGCTTTTCAAGCGATGCGCTTTGCAATTCCATACCGGTAGTATCCGATAGAGCTGTTCCCGGGCAATCCGGAGCAAGAATCACTAACATTTCGGAACGCCCTACTTCCGTTTGTCGTCCACGACATAAGGACTTTATACTAGAAGCTATGACGCTTCATTTGAATGAAGAGACAGGATCTTCCAGAAGAAATACTACTCGAGTTGGATGCTTCACACAACCCTATTCTAATAAAAATAATGGAAAGGATTTTAAAGGATCAATATACCATTTAAATCCTTCCAAATTAACCTTTGATAATCAAGTAGTTCTCTCTATAATCATTCCCAAACTTTACACAGATTGCCCAGATCATGATTTCCTGCAAAATAAGGCACGTCTGCTGCTGCAGATTTATGACCCTCTCTTCCTGCAGTGGAAGCCACGAAGGGGAATCCCCTAACCCTTCCTGCCAGAGGGTCCACACTCTGCCAGAGCGCCATAATTAGGCGTCCGCCCACGCTGGCAGCCACGAAATAGGACAGCCGACAAATGACCTACAATAAGATTTAGTGCGCGCTCTCAAGCAACTAAACTTAATATTTCACGTACACTTAACCTACGGGTTTAAATGTCGTAATTTTCTCATTGGCAGCAGCAACAGCCACCGCCGCCCGAGGCGCTATTCGAATGTTTTACTGACTCAAAGTTTGTCTCAATTACGTGCGTGCCAGACTGAGTCAGCTCATCCCCTCTAGAGTTCTGGTGCAGGAGGAGCGTTTCCCACCACATCCCAGTGGCCGAGCAGAATATTTCTGGTGAGAGACTAAGGCGCATTTCTTGAGAACAGAACCTGAGGGGGAAAGCGACCCGCAACCCCGTCCCGTTTGTCATTGGCAACTTTTTAATTAAAAGTTTCATCCGAGTAATGGGATATTTGCACTGCGAAATGCCACGGCGGCCAGCGACGATACTTGATACTTGTGCAATATTTGTGGGCGTCCTTTTGGCATTCCGCCTTTCGCTCTCTCTCTTCCTGTCCCCGGCTACAAGTATCTAATTGCCAAAAGGATTTGCAAAACTTTGGCCTTACATAACGATGCGCTGACCTCTATCCCAAGCCTTATCTGCGACGGCTTCGCCTTCACCTCAGTTGTTGTTCTTGTGCTGCAAACTTTTGGCCATCGCAATCGCCAAACTATGCCCAGCACGAGGCTACGTGAGTCGAGCTAATGAGCTGCAAGAGTCACGAGCGCAATTAGCCAGGCAGGGATTTTAATTAAGTCCCACCTGGCCGCCGGCTGAAGTCCAAGGATCGCAGGACAGCCGAGGATCGGATTCCAAGCGAGTGTAATGAGCGCTTAATATGGCAGAGATCTTTCTACAGATTTGTCTGAATCTTAGAAGTCGAAGTCTTAAGTATCTACTTTCTATTAATTGATTTCAGAATGGTAATGGTAAGTCACTTGAAGACTTTACAGGACTGCAAACATTTTCGTATATCCTTGCTGTCGTTAAAAATTTCTACACTCTTGCCTGGACAACCACAGCGATGACCAATGACCACTGACCACTGGTGTTCGCTGCGCCTTGTTCACGTTCATTGCTCAGTGTCCACGTCTAATCGCCGCCGGATGTCCGCATAGAAATTTGCTTTCATTGTTTTTGTCCCAGCTGCCGGACAACTCTCGTTATATTTCCCTTTTTTTTTTTTTGGAGTCCGCATTCGGTGTGGGACTCTGTCGCCTATTCTGTTCTATTTTCACTTTTTGTTTGTTGCAACTTTGTTGTTGTCAGCATTCGCTTTCAATTTCCTCATCCACTCGAACTAACATCCTTCCGCTGACTTGTCGTGGCTGCTCATTCATGGCCGCCGCCCGTTGGTCACTATTCCCATGCCCGGCTGGCTCCTCAGTCGTCAATCGGCAGTCGTCAGCAGGATAACTGGTTGGCAGGATAACTGGATACTAGGAACTTCTAGCCGAAAAATAGGTCCCCGCCCGTCTGTCCATCCATCCGTCCGTCCGTCCGTTTGTCAATCAATTGTGAATTGTTTATTGAATGTTTGTCGTTAGACTGCACACAATGCCGCTAACAGCCGGACAGGAGTTGTTGGCTTGGCTTCGTTTGCCTTTTCTCTTTTGGCCAACTGGCAAATTCTTTTTTCTCTAGTTTTTATACGGGGTATTATGGGGGTATGTTAGGCAAGCATCGTTGATGGGGTACGTGCAGGTCTAAGGTTTATATAGGGGTTTTGTAAAAAGAAGTTCCTAACTTCCAGAGTGTTGCAGATATTGTTTCAGTTTACTTATAGATTAAAAATAGGATTAATTACGAACAACCAATAATCTCTTTACGCTCTTTTAAGCCTCAGCTTCATTCTTTAAACAAAAGAACACCTTTTAAGCTTTTATTTCATCATCAAACCAGGTATCACACATTCCAAACACATGTCTTATTTCCCATACCATTTTGTTTGTTACTAGCTCGGGCATTTTCGTGCGGCTTAGAACTACATATATGGTCATTGTTTGCACTGT